GGAACGGGGAGCTCGGGAATGGCCGGCGGTGCTGAGGGCCCCGGGGGTGCTGAGGGCCCCGGGGTTCCCCGGCTGCAGGGCCAGCTCTGAGCGCTGCTGATTCCTGAGGCTCCCCGCCACGCCCGCTCACGGTGAGCCCGACCCGCGCCACGGCCGTGAGGGGCCGGCACTGACCGCCCAGGATGAAGCTGCCGACGGCCGAGATGAAGCCGCTGAGGAAGGAGTTGAAGGGGAAGGTGCCGACACCCAGGCAGTATCCGAACTGCAGCGCGCCCGTGAGCAGCACGTAGAGCAGGAAGGCGTCCAGCGCCTTGAGGCGCCCGGCGGTGCCGCCGCCGTACTCGGACAGGAAGCGCCGCGCCACGGCCCGCACCGAGCCCGCCATGTCCGCCGCCGCTGCCGCACTGCGCATGCGCCGCGTCGCCCGCCCGCACTGCGCGGGCGCGCACTGACGTGGCGGTGAGCGATAGGGGGAATTGCGCATGCGCTGAGACAAGCGCAGTCCGCACCCCTTTGCTTGCAAAAAGCCAATAAGAGCGTAGAGCTGGCTGTTGCTGGGTAGATTAGAGAGTTGTTAATTCCAAAAGCCAATCAGAGTCCAGCGCTGCTGCTGGAAGCGGGGCTTTGCCTGAGGCCGCTCGGCTAAGGGGGTGTGAGGGGATTTCTGGCTGAGGGAATGTTTGGGGCTCTTTGCCGAAGGAATGTTCGGGGGGATTTCTGGCTGAAGGAATGTCCAAGGGTTTGTGGCCGAAGGAGTGTCCAGGGAGATTCCTGGCTGAAGGAGTGTCCAGGGAGCTCCTGGAGGAAGGAGTGTCCAGGGGATTCCTGGCTGAAGGAATGTCCTGGTGTTTGTGGCCGAAGGAGTATCCAGGGGGATTCCTGGCTGAAGGAGTGTGCAGGGGTTTGTGGCTGAAGGAATGTCTGGGGCTCCTGTCTGAAGGAGTGTCCGGAGGATTCCTGGACGAAGGAGTATCCAGAAGCTCCTGGCTGAAGGAAAGTCCTGGTGTTTGTGGCCGAAGGAGTGTCCAAGGGTTTGTGGCCAAAGGAGTGGCCGGGACTTCTGGCTGAAGGAGAGTCCAGGGATTCCAGGCTGAAGGAGAGTCCAGGGGGCTCCTGGCCGAAGGAGTGTCCAGATGAGTCCTGGATGAAGGAGTGTCCAAGGGTTTGTGGCCAAAGGAGTGTCCGGAGGATTCCTGAATGAAGGTGTCCAGAAGCTCCTGGCCAAAGAGCTGTCCCGATGTTTGTGGCTGAAGGAGTGTCCAGGAGGCTCCTGGATGAATGAGTGTCCAGGGCTCCTGGCTGAAGGAGCATCCAGGGATTCCTGGACAAAGGAGTGTCCAGGGAGTTCCTGGCCAAAGGGGCGTCCAGGGGTTTGTGGCCGAAGAAATGTCCCGGTGTTTGTGGCCGAAGGAGTGTCCAGAAGCCCCTGGCTGAAGAAATGTCCTGGTGTTTGTGGCCGAAGGACTGTCCAGGGGGATTTCTGGCTGAAGGAGTGTCCAGGGATTTGTGGCCGAAGGAATGTCCGAGGATTTGTGGCTGAAGGAGTGTCCAGGTGACACTGATTCCCCTCCCGGGTAAAAGCAAAACGATCTCAGTCTGCCTCCTGCTGTTGGAAAATGATACAAAATTTAGAATATTTTTGTAACTTTAGTCAGTTCGCCTTTGCCTGGGGGGAAAGGAGTTGGAGTTTCTTTTCAAAGGATCGTCACTCGAGGTGTGATTAGCTTCACATCTCAGCAGGCTGGGAGCAGCACAGAGAAGACACAAAAGATAATTAATGAGCATTAATGAACATCAGCTCAAACACGGTCAGAGATGCCTGGTCTGAGAAAAAATGAGAGAACCAATGAATGAGGACCTAGTTAACATCAGAGCCCAACAGATCCATAACCAATAGGACACCAAATGCTAAGAGCTGCATAGTTTGAGACCAATGAACACTGAATTAATTTCCATGGGTTTTGACTGTGTAAATATCAGAATAATCTAGTAAAGAGTGATGTGTGATGGAAGGATTTTCTCTGCACACCCAGGCAATGTGTTGTTGAGATATTGGGATACAAGACAGATTATCAGCTTTGGACCTGGTTGGCATAAGAGATTTGATAACAGGATGCCTTGGCAAAAGCAAACAGAACTTTGAGGATTAAACAAAGATTCAATTAGAGAGGTTTACTGGAAAAGAAAATTTCATTAAAGTCTGTAAGGAAGAGAAGTTGTAATATGCGAATGTTTGTGTATGTGATTTTAACCTAATCATTGTAGTAAACATTGCTAGTCTTCCTAAAACAGTATATAAGCATTGGTAGTCCACAATAAATTTGGATTCTGATCACCAAATCAGTTTTCCCTGTCTCTCTTCATCACCAGCAATGTGTGGATGAAATTCTTTCTGTTGCACATACTGACCAGAATAAAGTAATGCCTTCATTCTCTAACACTAAATATGTTGTTGGAGGGTTTTTCTTGTTTCAGTGACACTGCAAGGCAACTATAAAAAAAAAATGTCTTTGATACCAACAGTAACACGGATCTGATGGGCCTGAGGCTGGGTTGGGGAAATCAGTTTGGCTGTGTGAGGTACAGCAGCTGTTCCAGGGCAGTGTCAGCTCTGAGGCATTGGCAATTGTCACAGAATTATTTTATGAAAAATCCTTTTGTTAGGATTTTTTCTTCTGAGAAGCTGAGAGGCCTCAGGAACAAAATGTAAACAATGGTTATCTGCTGCTGTGGAATGCAAGAGGTTCATCTGTGATTGGTCTCATGTGGTTGTTTCTAATTAATGGCCAATCACAGTCCAGCTGGCTCAGACTCTCCAGTCAGTCACAAGATTTTATTATCATTCCTTTCTATTCCTTTCAAACCTTCTGATGAAATCCTTTCTTCTATTCTTTTAGGATAGTTTTAATATATCATTTTCTTTTAATATAATATATATCATAACATAATAAATCAGCCTTCTGAAACATGGAATCAAGATTCTCATCTCTTCCCTCATCCTGGGACTCCTGTGAACACGACCACAGGCAATCCTCTATCAGCCACCACTCCTTGTTGGGTTTTATGTTGGATTAATCCATTTTCTGACCCAGAGATGGGGTAACTCAGAGGTGTTTTAAAAACTTTTATTCCATTTTCAGTCTCATGTTAAGGGTGAGACAATACAGATGTTATAATTCATGCAATCATAATCAGAAGCCAATTATTTCTTAATTACAATACACTGTAAGTGTTTCTTGGCCTATCAGCTTTTGCCACACCATGCTGTAAATGCCTTAAAGCAAATCATCTAAAATTACCCCTCATAGCTCCAACTACAGTGCATCTCTTTCTCCAAAGTATCCAGTGTTATTTTCAAGGCCATCCTTTGAAACTCGTTTCTATTTCCATTTCTGTCTCAGCATTTCTTATCTCCAGGTTTGCACACTGTGAGCCTTCTGCCAGGCTGCACCCATGGGCTGATCTGGTCCTAAATTCTTGTTGCTTGGCACTTGTGGGAGCTGTGCACAGTACCAAAAAAACCCCAAAGATGTTATTAGAATGGTGTGAGTCCAGTGAAAGTTGAGCAAATTTATCAGAGAACCGGGGCACATCACACCTGAGGAGAAGCAGAGAGAAGACAAAGCCAAGAGGAGTCCACTGAGGGGGACTCAGAGACAGGTTAGAGCCAGACCTCTCACAAAGAGCTTCAAGTAAATCTTTTCTGCCCAAAAAGAACTAAATATTCACAATGAAAGCACAAGGGAAATTGTGGCCCTGCAGGGAAGTTGATCCATCCCCTGTTTGGAGATATCCACACTTACTGAGAGAAAGGCAGGAGCAACCTTGTGCTGCTTTGCTTTTAGTGAGGACTGGACCTCCAGAGGTCCTTCCCAATCTCGTTTCCTCTGTGGTTTGATTATACTCTTGCTGTTCTTTCACAAGTGTTTCCCCACAAAGTGTTATTTCATGTTTTGATCCCTAATTGGTCCCTGAGGTTTGACACACTGAGGAAACACAGGACTGTAATACCCTGCCACCATTATATAAAGGAGCTGAAGAGAGAGGAATTTTTTTTTTTTTTGCCAGAAATCAATTGTAAATCTAAGCTAAGGAGGAGCAGAATCAGACTCAGAATACTCTTTGTAGCATCCTGGATTGTTGTGGATATACTGGTAACTACCTGGAGCATTTCTCAGAGTTCTTAGAGGGTAAATTTTTCTGAAGAATAGGGAAAATTTAAAGAAACATTGACTTGGGAAACTGAACTTTTGGTCTTCAAACTAAAGTAAAATCTTTTAGCTGTTACTGAGGGAGTTTCTTGGCTTAGGGGACCTCTCTCAACTTCCAGATAATATCAGTCCATCTGTGGTATTGAAAATATGTCCTATGTTTAGTATGGTTTGTGAGAGCGAAGTTTTGTATTGGTGTTTTTTGAGAAACAGCCATAAGATGATGCCAATAAACTCCCTTGTTTTGCTGGGAAAGGGGCTCTAAGGGGAAAGATTTGATGGGAATAGTGCATTAAGAAGGGTTGTACCATCCCAGTTTATAGCTATCCTTTTGTTGAGCATTTCAAGAGGAAAATTTGAGTGTCTTGTTTGATTTGGGTTATCAGCTAGATAAGATGGGCTTGCTTTTCCTGGAAATTCATTGTGGTGTTGTTTACTTCAGTCATTCAGAAATATCTGCAATGAATCTGAAATGAATCTAAACTGCAGTAACTTTCCCTTTTACAATGTTAATGTTTCCTTGCACCAATCTAACCTGCTTCAGAGTCTGTCTGTGAATGATTGCATTCCTCTGTGGTAAGTGTCTGGACACAGCAAAGTTTCCATTCTGGGCATGTGGGGTTTTTTTGGTTTGTTGGAGGGTGGATGTTGTCAGATCATTCAGAGAGACCCAATAAGAGCTTCTGCACCTCTCAGGAATTGTTTTGACTGGAGTGAGGACTCAGTCTTACCAATGGAGCTTGGGGCTCCTTTTTGATGACCAGGATTTTTAATATGTTGTTACTGTGGTTACTGTGGCTGCTGCAGTCTTTTATAAGAGGTTTGTTGCTGGTATTGCCCTGTAATGTTAGCAAAGCCAAACTGACACATGTTCTGTTGTTTTTCAAGTTCCCAAAACAGGTTTTTTCTTTTTCTTGCCAGTTTTTTCAGTGATGTCTCAATGAACCACACAACTGTAGTGGAGTTTGTCCTCCTGGGACTGGCTAACAGCCGCCAGTGGGAGATCATCCTCTTTGTGTTCCTTGGCATTGCCTACCTCTTGATCCTGCTTGGAAACATTTCTGTCATCAGCATCACTCTTACCAATCACTTCCTCCAACCCCCATGTACTACTTCCTTAGGAATTTTGCCCTTTTGGAAATCACTTTCACCTCCACCTTCCTTCCCAGCACCCTGTACAGCCTCCTGACAGAGAGGAAGACAATTTCCCTGCCTGGCTGCTTCCTCCAGATGCTGCTTTTCTACTGCCTGGGTACCTGCACCCTTTTCTACATGGCAGGGATGTCCCTGGACCGCTACGTTGCCATCTGCCACCCCTTGCACTACCCGGCCATCATGAACAGCAGATTCTGCCTGCAGCTGATCCTGGGCTGCTGGGCACTGACTTTTCTCCTGATGCTTCCCCCCACCATCATGACAGTGCAGCTGCCATTCTGTGGTCCCAATGTCATGAATCACTTTTACTGTGATGCCTCCCTGTTGTTGCAGCTGTCCTGCACAGACACAGCCTTCATCGAAGAGCTGATGTTCATCATACTCATCCTCATCCTCCCCGGTACCCTGATAGTAACCGCTGTTTCTTATGGCTGCATTATTGTCACCATCTTGCTTATTCCATCATCAGCAGGCAGGAGGAAGGCATTTTCCACGTGCTCAGCTCACCTCATGGTGGTGATGGTGTTTTACAGCACCTGCATTTACAGGTACATCCGCCCAGCCCAGCGAGGTGGGCAGGACTCTGACAAAGTTCTGTCTTTGTTCTTCTCCGTGCTGACCCAGACAGTCAACCCTTACATCTACTCACTCAGGAACAGGCAAGTCAAGCAAGCTTTAAAGGAGAAAATTCTGAAGTTTTCTGGCTCCCTGAGGCAGATGTGAACGGTGGAGCCTTGTATTTTGTGATAATAAAATAATAATTAGTCTGATAATAATAATTTCTGATAATAAAATAATAAATATAAGCCAAAATTTGCTTATCCCTCTCTTACTAATGGTTGCTTTATATGATCCCACCTTTGTCCAGAGTGGGTGCTTTCCAATATAATATAATATAATATAATATAATATAATATAATATAACATTACATTACATTACATTACATTACATTACATTACATTATATATTTGCTATACTAAAGAATACAGAAAGGATACAGACAGGAGGCTGAAAGATACTAATGAAAAACTCATTACTCTCTCCAGAGCTCTGACACAGTTTGACCATGATTGGTCATTAAGTAAAAACAAGCCACATGAAACCAACTAAACAATCACCTACCACATTCCAAAGCAGCAAAACACAGGAGAAGCAAATTAGATAATATTGGTTTTTTAATTTTTCCTTTTTCTCTGAGGCTTCTCAGCTTCCCAGGAGAGAAATCCTGGCAAAGTGATTTTTCCAGAAAATATGATGGTGACAGTGGTGTAGCCCATCCAAGTATCTGAATTGTTTCCCAGGTGCAACATCTGTATTGTGAATTAAAGATGCTGATTTCAAATGGTTTATGCTTTGTAGATGTTATGTAATTCCTTCTGTTGGCAATGAAAATATGCCAGCACAGAAAGGATTTTCTAATCTTCTGTTACCTGGTGTCAGCTTTTTCTCAGCATTTCCCCCCTTGCTGGGATGGGTTAGCTTTAGTGAAAAACCAAATTCCCATTCACACCTTCCACCCCCAGTGGGAAAAGAGGAAAAACAGAAACAAAACTCTCGTAGTTTGAGATAAATACAGAGAGATGGTTTGCCAGTTTCTACCTGGAGTGAAACACACTGGATTTGGGGAAAACCAATGTAATTTATTGCCAACTGAGATAGTTTAGATTGTGAGAAACAAAATTAAATGCTAAACACCTGAATATTTATTCATTCATTCCAGAGTACTCCAGCACTGTCCCCAGCACACAGGGTGGGTGGGGAGGGTTATGGTCAGTGCATGTGGGTCCTTCACAGGCTACAGAGATCACATTGAGCTACCAAGCCACAAACCAAGTACAGAAACACCATTCTTATCAATATTTTTGGTTTTAGAACTTCAGCTTCCACAAAGCTATGTTTACAATCATTACCATACACACTGAACCCATCGACAGAATTCCTTGTCCTCCCTCTAATTCAGTAGCAATAATCCTTGATCCCAAGTACAATAATCCTTAATCCCAAGCACAATTCATGAAACATTTTTTTTTCAGTCTTAGCTGTGAAGGCATTTCCAGGTTTGGGGCTGGATTTGGCTGTGTATTGTGAATCCAGGAATCTCCACCAGTAATTTTTACAGCTGTCTTGATAGTCAGAGGAGCTTGGAATGATCCTTTCCACTTTTCCTTGAGTGGTTCTTTGCTCCAAATCTGGACATATGCCCAATCTCCTGGACAGTGAGAGTGTGGTTGAACATCCAAGGTCACTGATGATGCCAAAACAATAAACCTATGCAAGGATGAGAGTGTTCTTTCCCAAAGTTTCCCAAACCCCTCAAATTGTGATTCCTTACTGTATGTTTTCCCCTGGGTGTAATTACAGCCTGACATGTGCCAACAACTAGGATTGCAGTGTGTGATGCAGTGACAGTGTTGCAGCCACAGTGTTGCAATGAGTGATGCAGTGACAGTGATGCAGTCACTCTGTTGCATTGCAATCAGAGTGTTGTGGTGACAGTGTTGCAGTGATGCTGTTGCAGTCACTGTGCATTGCAGTGACAGAGTTGCAGTGACTGTGTGTGTTGCAGTCTCAGTGTTGCAGTCACACTGTTGCAGCCACACTGTTACAATCACAGTGTTGCCGTCACAGTGTTGCGGTCACTCTGTTGTAGTCACACTGTTGCAGTGACAGTGTTGCAATGAGTGATGCACTGACAGTGATGCAGTCGCTGTTGCAGTCACTGTGCATTGCAGTGACAGTGTTGCAGTGACACTGTTGCAGTGACACTGTTGCGGTCACTGTGTTGCAGTCACACTGTTGCAGCCACACTGTTGCGGTCACGCTGTTGCAGTCACTCTCTTGCAGCCACACTGTTGCAGTGACAGTTCTGGGCTCACCCCTGCAGCTGACACTGCAGAGCAGGCTCTGCCTCTGCCCATGGTTTGGCAGAGCAGGTTTGTGTCCTTGGCATTTCCTTTGCCCTGCCTGGGGGTGATGCTGACAGAAAGTACCACCTTGGCACTGCCTGGGCCCTGCTCTTTGACTTCTGAGTGGGAATGTTGGTGCAGGAGACATTTGAGGCTTGCTGAGCTGTCTGTAATCCAAGTCTGTGACTCTGTGCTCGAATGAGCCCTGCTGGGAACACTTTGTCCAACTCTCTCACCTCGCACTGGGCTCTGTTAAAGCTCCCAGTAAGTTTGTTCCTGCTCCTGCCTTGTCATTTCCTCAAGGCACCTTGCCAGACTGTGCCACAGCCACCAGGAACTGGGAGGTGGCACCACAGTCCTGCAGGGGCTCATTAAAAAGCTGACAGCCATAATGAGCTCTGTGGTTGTTCCTGTGCTGGAAGCATTGTGTGGTTAATTAGGGAGCTCCCAGCGGTGTTTCAGTGAATACCTACAGCTTAATTTCTGTTTGTCTTTTGTTCTAATTACGTGTGACAGGGAGAATGGAAATGGAAACACTTTAATAGGGAATTAGTCGTGTTTATACCCTGGTGGGAATCAGGCAGAGAGAGGAAAATATCTTTGGGACCAAGCAGGGAGAGACCTGAGTCAAAGTTTGATTTATGTGCTGGCAATAAGACAATTCTCATTCCAGCCTCTTCTCCTGTTACTGCAACCTGCAACCCACAGAAGTGCCAAAGGCTTTGTTTGTAAAGCCTTTCTCTGCTCTAATTAGCACTACCTTTACCTGCTGTACTAATTATACACCGAGACAGAAGCAATATTCATCACCATTGCAAAAGGCTTTCAAGGCCTTTTTTAATGAGTGAAAGAAAAAAATCTTAATTAACAAATAATGTCATGTGTTTTACTTTGATTCCCCTGTGCTCCAGTTTTCCCAGGACATGAACCCTGAAAAGAACTGGCTCAGTGGGGAGATGGACAGGTGATAGAAATTTTCAGGCACAATTAGAATGAGAAATATTTAAACAATTAATTAGGAAGAACTGAATATCTACCAGGTGATCAAGATGAGTTGTGTCACTCAGATGTCAGTACTAGGGCCTGTTGCAATACTACAGGGCTAATAAAATAAAATTATTCTTTTAAATTAAAAGGCAATAGATAAACAACTTAGTCATTAGAATATATATAAAGAAAATGATTAGCATCTTAATTATTACATTAGATATAAGAAAGAAATTTTTGATGATGAGGATGGCAAAACATTTAAATGGGCTGCCCAGAGAGCTTTAGATGCCCCATCCATGGAAACATTCAAGGTTGGATGGGGCTCTGAATAACTTGGTCTAGCAGAAGGTGTCCCTGCTTATTGCATAGGGGATGAATTAAATGATCCCTTACTACTGAAATTATTCTAGGATGCTGTTTCCAATAACTTGAGGGAGGTGATGCTTCCCTTCTACTCAGTGCTAATGAGATGGCACCTGGAGTGCTGTGGGTTCTGAGCTCCACGTGAAAGAGACACAGATGTGCTGGGAAGAGCTCAACAAAGTGGTCTGGAGATGATGGAGGGACCGGAAAGTCTGTCCTACAGGGAATGCCTGGTACAGCTGAGTTTTTACCCTGATAAGAGCAGGTTGTGGTGGGACATTATCCATGGATGGATATCTCTGAAGGTAGGATAGAAGTGGGAGAAATACAGGTTCATTTCAGAGTGGTGTGCAGTGACAGGACAAGAGGCAGTGGGCACAAACTGGGGCTCTGTCTGAGCATCAGCAAACACAACTATCTGTGACGGTGACCAAGCACTGGTACAGCTTGGCCAGGGAGGTTGTGGTGACTCCATGCTCGGAGATATTCCAAAAACAACTGGAACTGGTCCTGAGCAATTGGTGCTTTAGGCGGCCATGCTTGAGCAGGGACATTGGACCAGACAAAACTGAAGGTTCCTTCCCACCTCGACCATTTTGTGTGACTCTAGGGCAGTGTCAGTGTGCAGCAGAGTAGAAAACAGTTCCAGTTGATGCTCTGGTGACCATCTGCATGCAAGGTTTCCTGTGCATGACCAGTGGTTTGCAGACAGTGTCTTCAGGGTGGGGAAGGCTACAGTGGTTGCAGCACAAAGGTGGGGTGATACCACCAGAGCAAGAAAGGGAACTGGTGGTGAGCAGGGGTGTGGTGTTCAGCACAGTGACCACCATGAGAACAGACCAAGGGCCGCCTTCACACTGCTCTCACACTAGACACAGTTCCAGAGGTGTGACTATGGACCCACCTCGGGTCAATAAAGTTGGTGGTGCTGGACACAGCACCCCACGTGTGCCTCACCAGGGCCGAGCAGAGGGGCACGATCCCCTCCTGGACCCTCTGGCCACACTCTTCTTGATGCACCTCAGGATCCTTTTGGCCCTCGTGGCCCCAAGGGCACACTGCCAGCTCATGGTCACCTTGTCACCCACCAAAACCCCCAGGTCCTTCTCTGCAGAGCTCCCCTCTGCTAGGTCAGCCACCAGCCTGGTACTTGGGGTTATTCCTCCCCCAGTGCAGGACCCCACACTTGTCCTTGTTGAATTTTTTAGGTTCCTCTCTGCCAAACTCTCCAGTCTGTCAAGGTCCCACTGAAAGACAGAACAGCCTCCAGTTCTGCATCATCAGCAAATTTGCTGGGGGTACATTCTGTGCCTTCTTAAATAAATGATCAGGACTAAAAAAAGCCTAAATGAAATGCAACTGTTCCTCACACAAGTGACCAGGCTTGTCTCTGCAATGCAGCTTTGACCTCAGCCATATTTGACATTTTCTATCCCATCACCACACCACAAGGGCACCTCCTG